AACAACAACAACAATATTCTAGCCATTACATTAGCCTCCTCTGGGCTCCAGCTATCCTAACTGCAGATCATCAACAGCTGAGAGACTAGGATAAGCGAGAGAGTGCTTCCCATAGTAAGCAGCAAGACTTGAGGATGACTGGAGCAAGACCCTGGTGATGGTGGTGAAGAGACTGTGGCATTACTTTGAAGAGACTGTGGCAAAGTGTGACCAGAAGAACCCTGAGATAAAGGCCACAGTTAAAGGTCTTGCTATTTTTGCCAGATGATAGAAGGAAAAGCTGATCATTAACTGAAGCTGAAGTCTGGACTAATCAAGGAATTGTGACTTGGAACTTCTGAGCTAAAATCTGGACTTACATTGGGTGATATTCTTTGCCTCCCACACTCTCTGTCTTATTTCCCTAATAAACCCCATTCTTGGTACCACAACTGTGAGTAAAGTCTGTGAGTCAACAACGAATATCAACTCAATGATTGGTGGAAATCACATGGAGTTTGGCATGTCTGACCTGGCAGTTGTTTGCTGCTATGAATATTATTGATGGGGAAGTTCCCCTTTTTGAAGCTGAAGTCAGACTCGGCCACCACCCCGCCCGATGTTGCATCCACTCCTATCATAGTCAACATTTATGAGTTTCTGCATAATGCAACAACTCACTGCTGCCGAGTTAGAACTGACACACAGATGACCCTCTAGTGGAGTTTCCATACAGACAGTTCATATCTACCCGAAGTATCTCGTTATACACAGGATTCAAGGTTTTCTTCACTACAAGTGTTTTCCTCTTGCCCATTTTGCCTTTGTCTGGTAACAAATAGGTCTTTACATATCTAAAAAAAGAAACAAACAGATAAGAAGGTCAGAGGAGAGAAAAATGGACGTTTCAACCTTTACTTTAAAAAAAGTTATCAGAAACTAGTAACAAAAATAATTACTTTTTGATGCTAAGAAAAGCACTGTGCATTCCCTTCAATACATTATTATACTTGAAAGTTTCAGCAAAGTTGATCATCTGATATTGCTTTGAAGAATTTTAAAGAGAATTTTCTAAATCTTTCTTTTCCTTTGGTTTTACCCAATGTGAATAAAAATTGACTGGACAGAAAGCACTAATGCTTACAGATTTAAAACTTTTTACTTTATAATTTTGTTCTCTTTTTGGAAAAAGAATATGATTTCAGCACACATCAGATCAAACCATAAAACCAACTCTAGCCCACTGCTGTCCACTGATGCCACCTCAGAGTGAGCCTACAGAACAGAGTAGAACAAAGGCTTTCCAAAGCTGTACATCTTTACAGAAGCAGATTGTCACACCTTCCTTTCAGAGTGACTGGCCGGTTCTAACTGCCAACTGGTTAGCAGCTGAGAGCATTAACCACACTGTCACTCACAAAATGCACTGGCTTCTTAACCTTAGCTTTAGTCTATACTTAAAAAAAAAGAAAAATAAAAAATAA